AGCTTCTCAGTGCTGTGCTTTTACCCGCTGCGCCACCAGGGAGGGCCATCCTATATGAATCTTTTAAATCTTGTGTTTTCTTCACTTCTTTCACTCTTGCATTGATTATTTTTCTCACAACATTCTTTTCCTTTTGGTATTCTTTTAGTATCTTGATCATGGTGATTTTAAATTCTCTGACAGGTTAAGAAGTTCTTCCAGATGATTGTTGTTGGGTTCTGGTGATTGGTTTTCTTTTTGTAATGTGTCCTTTCTCTGAGGGCTTGCTCGTTTGCTTTTATTTCTTCTCTCTGTTGTTTGATTTCTGATGTGTTCAAGCATTGGGACAATGCGATGCTGTTACTGTCAGGTACTGCTTCGATGTATTCCTCTGGGATGTCAGAATCTGACGGCCAAGTCATTCCCGTACTGCCAGTCAACCCCCTCAGGAAGTGATATTATGGATATGTTGATGGGTGCTGTCTCTAAGGAACCTACACTCTGAACTTTTGTGTCCAGGAGAAGACCTAAAGTCTCTGTCCTGAGAGTCCCGTTCGGCAGCAGTGGTGCCTGTAGTGCAGCTCCAAGACTGGGCCGGGCAGGGCCTGGCTGCATGTGCTTCTCGGCTTCCCTCCGTGTGGAGCGACTGCCCTCTCTCCACTCTCCAAAGGCTTCCTGAAGTCCCTGAACGTGGCCCTTCTTCGTAGTAATGGTGTCCTGTGTGCACATCCCCAGCACCCGTGTTTTACCTGGGCAGAGGCAGCAGCAGTGGGTAAATGCCCCTCCGGGCTCCAAAACCCAATCAGGGGCTGGGCCTGGCTGCACATGGTTTTCAGCTCACCTCTGTGTGGGGGATTCACGCATCTCCACTTCCCAGAGGCATCCTAGAGTCCCTGAAACAGCTCCCTTCTTTGTAGTAATGATGTCTTGTTGAAAATTGATATTCAGGGCTGTCCCTGGTGGCGCAGCGAGTGAAAGCACAGCACTTAGAAGCCAAAGCCACTTCCGCATGAGTTCGATCCCCGCCTGCCCCGGAGGTGACCACATGGCGCGGAAGACCTCTCCTGACATGCCCACTGCTCCCCTCAGCAGTGTACTTCGTTGATCTGCCTGTTCTGCTCCCCACTCTGTCTCTGGTGAAGCCTCTCACTGCCCCTGCACCTCTGGCCTGTACCTAAGTTCTGTATGAAAATAAATAAATCTTTAAAAAAGAAAATTTATATTCAGAGATTTGAGGTGCTAAATCTAAAATCTCTAAGTGATTGTCCTGCTGTATCTTATGAAGGTTGGTCTACATATGGAGCCTGAATACCAGGAGATATCACACCCTTAGAGTAAAGAGGCAGGTCAGGAAATGGCTCTAAACTTTCTAGGGCAGGCTGTGCTCTCCTAGTGGAAAGGGGAAACATGAGCCTCCCAGTTAGTATTCCAGCCACCAGAAGGCCTCTGCGCCTGTGCTGGGCTCATGGGGTGACTCTGAATCACTAAAATTTTAAAAACGAAAACAAAAAGTCACCTGCACAGGAGAGAGTTGACAAAGATGGATAACCTGTTCCTCCTCCCCTGGGAGCCCCGGCAAGAATAACTGCTGAGATGTGTGGAAGGGCAGAGAAGCTTGCCAGGGCTGCGACACACTGGTTACTGGTCTCACAGGATCTCTGTAGAGCACAGTAAGCCTGCAGTACGAGACAGACTGCAGCATACAGACTGCACTGCTTAGGAATAAAGCTCCTAAACCAAAATCAATTAAAAACACAGGGACCGGCCCTCCCTGGTGGCGCAGCGGGTTAAAGCGCAGCACTGAGAATCTGAAGCCACTTCCGCATGAGTTCGATTCCCGCCTGCCGCCTGCCCCGGAGGAGTCCGCATGGCGAGCCAGACCTCTCCTGGCCCGCCCGCTGCTTCCCTCAGCAGTGTACTTCGTCGATCTGCCTGTTCTGCTCCCCACTCTGTCTCTGGTGAAGCCTCTCACCGCCCCTGAGCCTCTGGCCTGTACCCCAGTTCTGTATGAATAAATAAATAAATCTTAAAAAAAAAAAAAAAAAAAAAAAAAAAAAAAAAAAAAACAGGGACCACAGATACACGAAGAAAATCCCAAGCCTCTAAGTGCTGACTGGTTCCACACAAGTCTCTGCCCCTGTTCTAAAAGACAGGAAATCACTCCATGCCAAGGAGAGAGGGGCTGTCGCCAACTAGTTCGGGGTCACAGATGTTATGTGCATGTTTATTATCCTTTGCTAACTGGGAGAAAGTCACGTGCTGGGTATGATTCTGTCTGCTCTCCGTTCACTCATAATCTGGTCAATGTGGGCCCATGAGTCCTCGAGGACAAAGGGTGGGGAGGATGCATGAATTACAGAGGGCATGAGGATAGCACAGAAGCCGAGATGCTGAAAAACTTAGCCAAGCCCTTCCAAGGTTGGAGGTGAGAAATCAGAAGGAAAGAGGCCAAGTACTTCTGGCAGGTTTCCCACAACCCTGCAGTCTTACAGAGAGGAGAACACCAGCGGGAGAACCTGAGACCCGTCTGAAACATATTACTGGGCAACACTGAGCTTACAGGATTTGGTTTCTGAAGAAAGTCTATTTGGTTTTAATGGGGTACAGAGCCCTTTGTTCTCTGTAACTTGTTCCAAAGCGCTATTCCCAAATAATATAGCCACTCCGTTTCCAATGAATCGTTTCCTTCAAGGAGCACCTCCTCTCTTTTAGTTGAGTATTTTGTGGCTCATAAGAACAGAGAAGGGCTCAGTCACAGCAGGCTCAGTGACTTCATGAGAACTTGAGGTTTTGGGCAACAAAAAAGTTCATTTTATGAGTGCCTTTCACGACAATCCATGGTGTTACTGGATGACAAGAAAGTTGGAAATTTGTCACCTTTGTAGGCAATGGTATTCCAAAACATTTTACACTGGTAGACATTAATCATCACTATCATGTCAAAATAGTCTCCCAAGTGCTGACATTAAGTGTGAACACTGTGATTCCGCGAGGGGTATGGGTAGAAACTGGACCATGTGTATAAGTGGCTCTAGTGTTACTGCATCTTGCCCAATGCTGTTCCTGTGGCAAGAACACTTGACATGATCAGCTGAGTGAGCGCAAGGCCTAGCAGGACGTAGGTTACCGGTTGTGATGCTTATGTCTTTACTCAAACACACAAGGTGTTTACCTACCTGTGGTCTACACTGGGACATCTATGTTTACATAAACATTTCTGAGACTGGGGCATTAATGTCAAAGCTTTCACATCCATGGAAATACAATTTTCATGGCAGTAAACATCTACAAAATTCAGCATCCACACCACACAACCAGTATATGCTGGAAACTAAGCTTAAGCAGGAATCCAAGGGCTAGAATTTCAGATTTACCTTTTCTGGGATGTTTATTTATTGCTCATAATTCAAAACTGTGCCAGAGTTACCTTATAAGGCAGCCATTTGTAAAATTCAAGATTATAGAAAAATTTTAAATGTAGTATGTATTTCATTTCTTCTTTAAATTTTGTTCTGGGAGGAAAAGAAAATAATACTGAAATGTGCTATTGCCACAGCACTGTAAATGATGTATATCAAATGCCTGGCACATGGAGTTGGCTTTGAATCATGGCAATTCCCATAATAAATATCAAGGGTGGGGAGGAATATCATCCAAAGAAACATCTGAAAGTTTTTGATTAATTTCCTTGATTTTGTCTAATTTCTTTAATTTTTTGTCTAATTTTCTTTAATTTCTATATTGTAGTATTTAGTGGAGGTCTCATTAAATGTATTTATCATTTTAGGTAGGGTTGTCTTTTTTCCTATATTCTCTCCATCCGTGAGAAGGGGTAACTTCCGTCTCTTAATGCCACTGTCTAAGTTCTTCCATAATGTTTTGTAGTTCTTACTTTGAAAGTCCTTTAGCTCCTTAGTTAGGTAAATAGTTAAGTAACTAACTAAAATAAATAAAAATATGCTTGTGGAGAATCTGAGTAAGCTTCTACTCAACAAAGGGTTTCTTGGATTTAAGGGCCCGTGTATTTCAATATATCACTGAATTCAAATTATGTAGCTCTAGATATGACACAGACCATTGAAATATGACTAAGTCAAGAACTTTAAAAAAATAGTTTGAAGAACGTATTTTACCTTTTGAAACTTTGGATGTATTACTGTTCGTGAAATGTGTAGAATGTAATCTAGGACTCCAATCATGTATACTCAGACATGATGATGTCCATAATATTCACTTCAAGTAAGGATAAAGGTGGCTCATAAACTTAAATAATTCCTGTTCCTCACATGGTGTTCCTCTGGCTACATACAAAATTACATGTAAGCTCAACCTGTGTTGCTGAAGCTAAGGGCTGCCATCCGCTGTCAGCACAGGACACACCATCTCAGTGACCACTGTGCAGCCTTGAAACGAGTGTCGTGTTATATGGCTGCCACACTGGCAAGATCAGAGTGGGATTAACTTATGACGGGCTTTATTAGGACTAATTTTAGCAAGTTCTTCTCAGAGCCTACAGTCTCCATTCGCTTTGTATTGTTTTACACCATAATTATCACCTAATTCTGTAAAAAATCTCTGATGCAATCAATCTATGGATTTTATAATACTCAAGATTAAAATGCAAGAACGAATGATATACCTCTAGCAATTGACAGAAAATGAAATCCCTTACAGTGTTTCTGTGCTTTACTCTCTTATATTAGCTAGAACTTTGAGGTATATACTTAAATATCTTCTTGCAAATACATATGAAATAATGATACCAAACAGGAGTATAAGTAAGAAAAACCTGTGCAGCATTGAAATATGAGTATAATGCAGATGCTCTAGGAACAGGGAATCAACAGGTCAGAAGCTGGAAAGAATTCATGACACAGATTTTGGACTCTCACTTTCCTAAGAAGATAGAGTAAGGAAATTCCTTCGAGAGTTGTCAGGGGAAACTCTGATGACACATGAAGGACACACAGATGCTACAGGCACTGACAAAGTCCCTCCACTCAAGTGCCTTCCTCACACGGTCATCTGGAGCCAGAGTCCTTCCAAAGCACCCTCTTCACAGCTCCCTTCACATCCTTGTTCCGCAGAGTGTATATGAGGGGGTTCATCATGGGAGTAATGACGCCATAAAAGAGAGTTGTGAACTTGCCCTGATCACGAGAGTAGTTATTGGTGGGCTGCAGGTAAGCATAAATAGCCGTGCCATAGAACAGGGAGACCACCAGGAAGTGGGACCCACATGTCCCGAACGCTTTTCCCTGCCCAGCTGCTGACTTTATCCGTAAGACAGCCCTGACAATACGACCATAGGAGAACATGATTAACGAAACAGGAATGAGAAGAATGATGACGCTCACAAAGAACATCTCAGACTGAGTCTTAGTGATGTCGACACAGGCAAGCTTGAGCAGCGCAGGGATCTCACAAAGGAAGTGGTCTACTTTATTTCTCCCACAAAGTGGCAGGAGGAAGGTGAGCACTGTCTGCAGTAATGAGTTGGAAAAGCCAAAGGCCCACGAGGCAGACGCCATCAGGGAGCAGAGACGGGGGTGCATGATCACAGTGTAGTGGAGGGGCCTGCAAACCGCCGCGTAGCGGTCAAATGCCATCACGCCCAAGAGGATGCATTCTGTGCACCCCAGCCCCAGAAAAATGTAGAGCTGAGCTACACACCCGCCATACGAGATGGACTTGTCTGCTCCACTGAGGTTCACCAGGAACTGGGGGACAACACTGGTCGTGTAACACAGGTCCAGAAAGCTCAGGTTGGAGAGGAAAAAGTACATGGGGGTGTGGAGATTGGGGTCCAGGTGGGACAGCGCAATGATGGTTGTGTTCCCCAGCAAAGTGAGGCTGTAGAAGACGACAAGAACCACAAAGAGGACTAGCTCCAGCTGAGGCCTGTCAGAGAAACCCAGTAGGATGAACCCAGTGGAAGAACTCCCATTCTTCTCTTCCATCCTTTGTCAGCACATTTCCTGCCAACATAAAGCATTTTACCATTTTTAAGATAACTTCAAAAAAATAACAGGTGGGCATCCCCTGGTGGTGCAGCAGATTAAAATGCAGCACTGCAAGCTGGCTGCAGCCGCTTCAGTATGAGTTTGATCCCCAGCACCTGGGTTGACCCACAGGGTGCAGCAGACCTCTCCCGCCTCCCCGCTGCTCCCCTCGGCAGTGCACTTCATCAGTCTTCCTGCTCTGCTCCCCACTCCGTCTCGGGTGAATCCTCTCACCAACCCTACACTTCTGGACTGTACCCCAGTTCTGTATGCATCAGTAAATAAATCTTAAGAAAACTCAGTTAAAAATAAATAAATAACTGGCCTTCCCTGGTGGCGCAGCCACTTCAGCATGAGTTCAATTCCTGGCCAGGAGATGACCCACATGGCGCGGCAGGCCTCTCCTGACCCGCCCGCTGCTCCCCTCAGCAGTGTACTTCATCAATCTGCCTGTTCTGCTCCCTGCTCTGTGTGTGGTGAATCATCGCACTGTCCCTACACCTCTAGCCTGTACCCCAGTTCTGTATGCATAGATAAATAAATCTTAAAAAAAAAAGAAAATGCATAACTTAGTATGATCATACTCAGAAGGTGTGACTTCAGCAGTTTTAAACTCTGAATCAGGACTGGGTCACTTGTTCCCTTCCTCCTTTCCTAATCCACAATCACTCCTCCTGAAATATTAGCATCCGCAGAGAGCAAATATTCAAAGAAGAATATTTTTCTAGCTAAAGCTTTATGAGGAATTTCACTTTGTTCTTCCCACATTTACAAGCATATAATTTGACTTGACTCATCATTGATGCTTACAGAAGCATCCGGCCCTCACTGGCAGTCCAGGGGCTACATCTTAGCACTGTCACCTCCGCGGCCTGAGATCTACCCCGGCCAGGAAGCCCACCACACACAGTGCAGCGGGCCTCTCCTATCTCCCTCTGCCGTTCACCTCAGCCGTGTATCTCAGTAAATTCACCTGTTCTGCTCCCCAGCCTGTCTCAGGTGAACCCTCGCACCATCTGCACCGCTGGCCTACACCCCAGTTCTTCTATCCTCCCCTGAAAAGAAAGGTAAGCATCAGCTGAGTGCAGTAAGAAAAACATTTCTTACTGCATGTGATGTTATATAAAATTAGAAATATTTGACACATCCATGCTCAGGTACAGTCCCCACCAGGATATGATACTGAAAAGCCGTGTTATAAAAATTACGTACAATCATAAATTATTACTTTGTATATAGAAAATAAATACTTGAAAGAAGCTCCAAAAAATGCAGAAAATTACAGATAAAATAAAGAAGTTGTTCAAAATAACAGGGCACTCATGTTACACTTACCAAAAAGGAATATAATGGAAAATGACACCTCACAGGAACATAATTTTATACTAAGAGTCAAGAGAACTGGGGTCAAGTGAAAGAACTTTAATCAAAGGAAAATGCTTACTGCTGACGCAACAAGTGGCAGATAGTAACCCACACTGATGGTGCTACACTGACAAATAATACTAAATTTTACTGCAAGAATTAATACGTCAATCAAACCAGAACTTAGCACGCAAAATAGACATTTTAAAGAAAAACAATCTTCACATAATATCTGAGTCTAAGGTATTACAAACACACAAAATTTGCCGGTACATTTAGCATATAAATTGCCCTGTCTGGTTCCTGAATGAATTGGGGAAAATGCCCGGAAAATCTTCTGAAGCCTCCGTACTATAACTGAGTGCTGTGGATTTAATACTGCTTCTTTCTCAGAGATCAGAACTGAATTCAGTTATTTTCGGATGTTCCTGACGACAATGTTTAGGTAAATTAGGGGCAAAGAGATCTATCACAGCAATGGGAATGGCAGGTGTGATGAGCAAGGTCAAGTACTATGGAAGAAGAGAATGAGGAAGGTTTTCAACGCACGCTGTTTACTGAGGGAATGCTCTGGGGTAAAAGAGCTAGGGAAGCAAAGCAAGCAGTTACTACATCGGGGTGCAATCTCGACGACAGCGCCAGGCCTGATCCCATCCGCCCCCGCAGCAAGAGCGCCCAACAGAACCAGCAGTGAGGGTCGGGCCGTTCAGTCCTGGCTGCTAATCCACCAGCTCCGACGCGCAGGTCGCAGCCTGAGCACTCAGTGTGGTAGTTACTCAGCTGGGCTGCACAGTTCAATTTTAATTCGCATGACTTAAGCAGCCTCCTGTGTGCCACACAGTGCGGCTGTGCAGTGAGGGTGGCAGCGATGGTGGCGGCAGATTCGGGCCCCGCCCTGCCCCCCCCAGGCAGAGGCAGCCCTGTGTGCCCCCGGCGGCTTCCCGCGGTGGCTGCCCCAGCAGCTCCAGGTGTCTGTCCCTGAGGCTCCCTCGCAACCGAGGATTCTCCGAAGAAGGCTACAGCTTTGCACCCAACACCGACACTCCTGACAGGAGGGCTAGACCGGTGACCCGGGAGTAAAGATCGGGGTGGGGCACCAGGGAAGCCGCAGGACGTGAGATCGTGAGCCTGGGCGCGAGTGGGAGGAGGCGCGACCTGCACGCGCCAGCTCACGTGGTGCGGTCCCATCGCTACAGCGTCCTCTGCCTAATTCACTAATGGATTATACATCACAGTATTTTGACTTTTAACATGAACTCACACACTTGTATTCCATTACCTAAAAGCCATATTTAATTATACGAAATATGCTATCTTTAAATTATCTCCTACATTTACACATGAAACGTAATGAATGTGCTAAAATAGAATGACATGTCTAGGGGTAACCGCTGGACTAAAATAATCTATAAATCCAAACTCAGAATATTCGGTGAATTTCTATAGTCTGTCTCTTTTAGCAACTGACATACATGTAAACAATTTGGGGGTTTCGGAATAATTTCTACTGAAAATAAACTAATCGCCAAGTCCCAGAGCAACACTGAGCAACACCACTCGCCTTCAGTGACTTACATGGGTCAGAAGTGCCTTCCCTATCTCTTTTCCAACCCACAGTCTATAATCAAGTGCTGGGATTTGCAGACTGAACATGCAACATCAGGAAGCAAGTGGAGCGGACAGGAGCACGTGGAAAGTCTGATTCCACCAGCGCCAATGATGCAGAACTTTCCTTAGCCAGAGGCTACTTTCTCACATGGCCACACATATCTTCACAGGACACTGGAGAACTGCCAGCTGCCTCTGGTGCCAGCAAGGTGAAGAAGGGAGTTCCAGGGAAGCCTGATTTCCTGGATACAACGGCCTGGCTAGGTGACAAAGTGATTCTTCTGGGAAAGAGGATCAGTGACTGGGCGGCACAGAGACCCAAACCTGCTTACCCGGCACAAGTCTCTGGGGGTGCATCTCCTACACGATTAATTAGCTGGTGTCACGAGTGACTTGTCCGAGATAATAATCCTCAGGGAAAGTGAGTATCAGGGGCAATGTCTGAAGATTTCTGATCTGTCTCTTCCACAGCCTCCTACATTTGACAGAAAACAGATACACCTCCCAATCTCCTGAGTTCTTATCTTCGAATGATATAGATGTTTGACGGGGAAACTTAAGAATTTTTTTCTCATGATTTAAACAAAATTAGATATAAATAATCCATTTGATTACTTAAGTTTAGATGTGAATATGTAAATAAATGTTTCACTTAACTTAATTCATATCCCTTATAAGAAATCGTAAACTAATTAAATTCCACTCTGTAGCAAATTCTTTCCTATACATCCATAAACCCCAGTTTCATTTACAATTTTTACCTCCTGCAAAAACATTCTCAGAGAAAATATTAATAAAGACAACTTCTCACTTCTCTCTCTACCAGTTAAATCCCACTATATTTATTAAGGTGGTCTATTTCTCAGGCTTTCCAGAAAAGGGAAGGACCTACCATTATCCTTTTCTTCCCAGTTCACTTTTGTTGTACCATTATTACCTGGTAAATCACTAAGAATAATATTTTGGTATTATCTACTAATAGTACCTGCAATTGCAATTACTCTCTAAAGTAATACTGGGTATGTGCCCCAAGAAATATGTATAAAAGTGGTCATAGCAACATTGATTTATTAACCAAAACTTAAAAGCAAATCAAATACCTATCAAATAGACATTCTGCATTTAGGTAAATTAAGCATCTCTTCCTTCCATACTTGTGCTCACTGACCCTAAAAATTCAAAATTCCCATAAGAAATCCCAAGTTCCAACACTGGAAACTCCAAGATTCTTGGTGTACATCTCAGTCCACAACCACAATGACAAAGCAACCAGAGGAACCAGAAGATGGAGCATCAAGTTGCCCAGAATGTTGTCACAGGTCTCCTGCCCAGAAAAGCTCCACTTCAAATTATATTCCCATTTCTAAGTATTCTGTTCCTTTATCTTCACTATCACAAGTCCCCCTTGTTTGGAAAGAAACTAAGAGACTGGTGTTGCCATCCTCCTGGATTCTACAACAGTTACAAAGAGGATCTTGATTTCAGGGAGATTCTTTCATGCAATGTAGTTAGCATTAAGTATCATTGTAAACAGTGAAAAAAAATTTTTTAAACTGCCACAGAATTCAAAAGCCACTCAAGGTTAGTTATGATAAATAGTTTGGCTGTTACAAAGGGGGAGACAATATGAAAAACATAAAAGCAAAAAAACAATGAACTTGCCCTGAAAATGGTACCTATTACACAAATACAATTTTCAAACAATAACTCTGGCTAAATCATAGACTGACAGAATGGACTGGATTTGACATGCTAACACATAGACCAAGCAGAGTTTTGTTTGTTTTTTTAAAAAGTACATCATTAGTACTTGGTAAATGGAATCTGAGAGGGAGGAAAATTTTTTGGCAGTAAATAGTAGTTTCTAATAAACACCAATCACAACAAAAACTTAGAGGGTACCAAAGTACAAAGTAAGAATGTAATATGTTAACTAGACCTGATTCCAGGATCTTGTCCATATGGTAAACTATGACTATTACAGG